TGGGCGCTTCTGAGTGGCTAGTCCGGTGTAACTTAATAAGTTCCCATGTCTAGGCCGCCGAACTGAAACTCTTGTGCAAGCGGCACCCCAAGAGACGCCGGCCTGAGGAATTCGCGCGGAAGCTTTCCGACTACATACTTCTTGGGCAATTTCACGCGCGAAAACAGGGCATCGTCCTCTTCACCGCCGACCAAAGCGTTAACAAGGTCCATCTCATCGCCTCCAGCGGACACTACTGGAGACACGCGCTTCTGACTCGCGATAATGTCACTGAAGAAGCAGGAGGTGCCGACGCCACATACGTCGATGCCCCGCAGGCAGTGCAGTGGTCTAAGGCATACGAGATGGGTACTCCTGCGTCCGGCCGAATTCTGAGCTCGCTGAGGAGGAGCATTCGGGAGATGCAAGAGGCGTTATGCAGGGAGTAGAAGAGGGCCAGCCGAACCGTGAGTCCCGGAACTTTGACTGTACCGGCCAGATGCTCATTGCTCACCATGTGATACCTAGGCCATGCCGCAATAATGGAACAATTACGAGATTTGCATGTGGGAGAAGATGCCAGGGTTACTGAGTGGTTTATAAGGTTGAGTGTGTGTTCTCGGATTAATACTGAATATCGGCTGGCGCTGTATTATGCGAGAGAATCCGCCGCTCGGATGTGACTATAGAAAAGACTGTTTATGCACTCAGATATTCTATATTCATTACCAATCTAATCAGCACTGGGTGGATAGTGGGAGTCGATCGGTACGCCGAAATAGCCATCGAGCATCCCGTACGATGCAGCCGATATCGAGCCCAGGTTTTCGTAGATAAACGGACAGGACGCACGCGCCGCGGACAAAGGAGTTCATTTCGAATGCTGCAACGCTCAGGCGTACGCGGCCACCATGACTCGGCATGGATGAGAGTGCCGGGCCGAGCGAGCGACCCGCCACTGTCAAAGTTGGCTGATATAGGACTTGCCATGGCAATTGCCCAACAAAACGTCACTAATTACATGACTTAATACGCAATCTATGTCTACAAGAAGCTTACGGGTACACCACGCCGTGAACATGCTCGTTCCTCTTTTCATAAACGGATAACCGCAGGAGGGGAGAGAATAGCGCGGGTGGACGAGCACAAACAAAATTAGGATAGGCCAACGTGCAGAGCACAACGGCTGCAGCACGAGACGGAAACGCTGGGCACGGCGGTACAGACAGTAGTATACTATCAGAGCAACAACAATGTATAAGTGAATCGTTTACTAAGTATCGGGTGCGCCACTCACACCAGAGCCGAGCGGACTATCTTGCTAATCCTGCCGCCACCAGTTCGGAGGCCCGTCTGCGCCAACCAGCTGCCTGAGCTTCTCAACCTTGTCGGCATCCGTCACTCTCCGGGGTAGCCCGTCGCCGGGGTCAGTGGAGGCGATGCAGAAGGCAATAACGTCTTTGCCTTTGACGGAGATCGGTCGTACCTGCCGTAACAAGCCAACCCGTATTGCGAGCTTAGTTAGCAACTTCATCATGACGTCTGTTCTCGCTCTAGCGGAATCGTCTTCGGGTTCTATACCAATCTCTTTGGCACGGTTGAGAACCCACTGGTATGTGACTTTGTAACCGAACGCAAGGTGTCCGTCCATGGCAGAGCAAAAACCTATGTTGACTCAACACGAGGATCGCATTTTCCGGGAGGTAGTGCTTACCGGTGTTGTGGTAGGGATGAAAGATGCCTTCAGCGGGCTTTCCACAGAGGTTTATATACATGCACGGCTCCAAATAAGGAAATCGTCTTCGACATACCAAAAGGGACTTACGCTCCGTGTTCGTCTGGGATTGACAATGGCATGCCTGTTTCACAATCCACGGGACCTGTCTCTTGTTTCGTTATACGAACAATCACTCGGCCCTTGTTCTTTATAGCTTGCTCCGCGTTCGTCTGCCGGTAAGTATTGCTAGCGAATGTTTCATACTACATCCTCACAAGACTCTGCTTTTTATTTTAAGACAAGGACTGGTCCCATAATAGGTTTGTTGTGCGACACAATTCTTGTCTTCAACCACGCTGCTCAGAATCAACAGCTACCGATGCGACAACGAGTCTCGAACAGGTAAGCGTCTTGTTCAAGCCCATCTGGCCTCAAGATTTACTATGTCTGTTGTTCTTGTTCCTCTGGCTACGAGATGTCTCTATATCAAGGGCGAGTGCCCCATCGAACTCGCCCACCTCCCCCTACCCTCTCAACCCTCAAGTCTCAAGGCGATGGCAGACTACATTGCTCAAACCAAGCAACAGCTTGCAGCCAAGCTGGCAGTCTCACGCCACACTGGACTGTCATACCTCGCTAATAGGCGAAACATCGAAGCTCCGTGGTA